TGACCACATAACATACCCAAATTTATGGGACACAGTGAGAGCAGTGTTAACAGGAAAGTTCATAGTACTAAATGTCTACATAAAGAAACTGAAAAAATCCCACGCTAGTGAATTAACAGAACATTTGAAAACTTTAGAACAAAAAGAAGCAAACTCACCCAAGAGAATTAGACAGCAGGAAATAATCAAATTGAGAGCTGAAATCAATAAAATAGAAACAAAGAAAACAATACAAAGAATCAATGAGACAAAGAGCTGGTTCTTTGAGAAACTCAACAAAATAGTCAAACCTTTATCCAAACTAACCAAAAGGCAGAGAGAGAATATCCACATTAACAAAATAAGAAATGAAAAAAGGGACATAACAACAGACCTGGAGGAAATACAGAGAATCATCAGGTCATATTTCAAAAACCTGTACTGCACAAAATTGGAACACGTAAAGGAAATGAACAACTTTCTGGATAAATATCACTTACCAAAATTAAATCAAGACCAGATAAGCAAATTAAACAGATCTATAACTGCTGAAGAAATAGAAACAGTCCTCAAAATCTCCCAACAACAAAAAGCCCAGGACCAGATAGTTTCTGCTCAGAATCCTACAAGACTTTCAAAGAAGAACTAATACCAATATTCCTCAAATTATTCCACACACTAGAAACAGAAGGAATATTGCCAAACTCTTTTTATGAGGCTACAATTACACTGATAGCCAAACAACATAAAAACATTACTAAGAAATAGAATTACAGACCATCTCAATCATGAACTTTGATGCAAAAATACTAAATAAAATTCTGGCAAATCAAATCCAAGAACACATCAGATCATCCACTATGATCAAGTTGGCTTCATCCCAGAGATGCAGGGATGGTTTAACATACGAAAATCTGTCAACATAATCCACCATATAAACAAACTGAGAAATAAAAAAACCACATGATCATCTCATTAGATCCCGAAAAAGCTTTCGAGAAAAATACAACATCCCTTCATGATAAAAGTCTTGGAGAGAGCAGGGATACAAGGAACATACCTAAACATAATAAAGGTAATATACAGCAAGCTAACAGCCAACATCAAACTAAATGGAGAGAAACTCCCAACGATTCTACTGAAATCAGGAATAAGACAAGGTTGTCCACTCTCTCCATATTTATTCAGTATCGTTCTTGAGGTCCTAGCTAGAGCAATAAGACAACAAAATGAGATCAAGGGGATACAATTTGGAAAAGAATTCAAACTCTCACTGTTTGCTGATGATATGATAGTCTACATAAGCGACCCCAAAAATTCTACCAACGAACTTCTACAACTCCTAAACACTTTCAGTAATGTAACAAGATACAAGATTAACTCAAAAAGATTATAGGCTGAGAAAGAAATCAGAGAAACATCACCCTTCACAATAGCCACAAATAGCATAAAATATCTCAGAGTAACTCTAACCAAACAAGTGGAAGACTTGTATGACAAGAACATTAAATATTTGAAGAAAGAAATGAAGAAGATACCAGAAAGTGAAAAGATCTCCCACGCTTTGGGGTAGGTAGAATTAACATAGTAAAAGTGACAATCTTACCAAAAGCAATCTACAGATTCAATGCAATGCCCATCAAAATTACAGCAAAATTCTTCACAGATCATGAAAGAACAGTACTCAAATTCATACGGAAAAGCAAAAAACCCAGGATAGTCAAAACAATCCTGTACAATAAAAGAACTTCTGGAGTCATCACAACCCCTGACTTCAAACTCTACTACAGAGCTACAGTACTGAAAATAGCCCGGTAGTGGCATAAGAACAGACAGGAGGACCAACGGAACCGAATCGAAGACCCGGATATCAATCCACACACCTTTGAACACCTGATTTTTGACAAAGAAGCAAAAAATATCGAATAGAAAAAAAGAAAGCATATTTAACAAATGGTGCTGGCATAACTGGATATCAACATGGAAAAGAATGAACATAGACCCACATCTATCACCATGCACAAAACTCAAGCCCAAATAAATCAAAGACATCACCATAAAGCCAGCCACACCAGCCTTATAGAAGAGAAAGTGGGAAGTACACTTGAATGCATTGACACAGGGAACCACTTCCTAAATAGAACCCCAGCAGCACAGACACTGAGAGAAACAATTAATAAATGGAATCTCCTGAAACTGAAAAGCTTCTGTAAAGCAAAGGACATGATCAAGAAGACAAAACGACAGCCTACAGAATGGGAAAAGATCTTCACCAACCCCTCACCGGAGAGAGGGCTGATCTCCAAAATATACAACGAACTCAAGAAATTGTCATCATACAGACCTAAACAGAGAACTCTCAACAGAGGAATCTAAAATGGCTGAAAGACACTTAAGGAAATGTTCATCATCCTTAGTCATCAGAGAAATGCAAATCAAACCAACTCTGAGATTCCATCTTACACCTGTAAGAATGTCCAAGATCAAAAACACTGACAACATATGCTGGAGAGGTTGTGGGGGAAAGGGAACACTTCTGCATTGTTGGTGGGAATGCAAGCTGGTACAACCCCTTTGGATGTCAGCATGGTGATATCTCAGAAAATTAGGAAACAACCTTCCTCAAGACCCAGTAATACCACTCTTGAGTATATATCCAAAGGCTGCTCATTTGTGCCACAAGGACATGTGCTCAACTATGTTCACAGCAGCATTGTTTGTCATAGCCACAACCTGGAAACAACCTAAATGCCCCTTGACTGAAAAATGGATAAGGAAAATGTGGTTCATTTACACAATGGAGAAAAAAATAACGACATCTTGAATTTTGCAGGCAAATAGATGGTGTTAGAAAACATCATTTTGAGTGAGATAACCCAGACTCAGAAAGACAATTGTCATATGTACTCACTCATAAGTGCTACTCAAACATAAAACAAATAAAACCAGCCTACAAATCACAATCCCTGAGAACCTAGACAACAATGAGGACCACAAAAGAGATCTAATCTACATGGGAAGTAGAAAATGACAAGATCTCCTGAGTAAATTTGGAGCATGGGGACCATGGGATAGGATTGAACAGGAGGGGAGAGGCATGGAGGGGAGCAGAGAAAAATGTAGAGCTCAATAAAAATCAATAAAATTTTTAAAAAAGTAAAAATGCCAGATACAGTTGGAGTGGGTGTGGCCTTGATGGAGGAAGTGTGTCACTAGGGGTGGACCTTGAGGCTACATAAGCTCAGGGCAAGCCAGTGTCTCTCTCTCTCTCCTGCTACCTGCAGATCTGAATGTAGAATTCTCAGCTATAAAAGCACCAGGTCTGCCTGCATGCCACCATGCCCACGACATGAATCAGAATTCGAGAGCTCTAGAAAGGGTAAATGCAATTCTTGATCACCTACATATGACCAGGCTTGGTTGGGTTTTAGCCCTAGCTTTCGTAACCTGAAAAGAGGGAAGATTCAACTGTTAAAAGTCACAGTCGGAGGAGCCGGGTGTATGTTAGCAGTTTTAAAGTTTGTTTGTGCAGTCAGAAAAGATATCCAATAAAAGAGGTCCAGATGGAGAAACCTCTAACCAGGTTCCAGTGTGTTTTATAATGGACATAGGCTTAAGAAAGAAAGAAAAAGTGAATAGTCATAAAAACGCATAATTTATACAATAAAGTCTTTATCGAGAGAGTAAAAGGAAAAGGCACATAAGATGGGAAATCCACAGGGAGTCTGGATCCTGTGTAGGATTGAGTTGATTTTTAATTTTTTGATGGCTGATGTAGAAGAGACAGCTTCTGGGAGAATGGGATTGTGAGTTGACTGCAAAACTGAACCGATATAGACACTTTAGGATAGCATTAACATTGAAAAAGAAGTCAAAATATGTATTTTTCTACTAGAAATCAAAACTGCATTGCAGTTTTGTTCCCGCAGGAGATGTGAGGTTGTTGATTGCTGCAGGAATGATATGGATCAGGTTTGATCAAAGGAGACATCCTGAAACTTAACAGGTGAATTTTACTTAATTAAACAAATGTAACACTTCTTTGTACCATTAAATAAATATCCTAGAGCATAAAGAAAAGTATCACACCTTAAAATAATATTATAAAACACTTAGGCATTCTGAGGGCTGGGATTAAGGCACGTGTAACCAATGTCTGGCTGTAATTTCTTAAACTTACCATCTTAGTCACAGATCTACTGCTGTGAAAAGATGCCATGGGCAATGTAACTGTTACAAAAGACATTTATTTGGGGCTTGTCTACAGTTTCAGAGGTTTAGTCCATTTATCTTCATGTCGTGGGCATGGTGGCATGCAGGCAAACCATGATATCCTGATCTTAGACCTGCCCCACCAGAGTGTTAGGATCCCAGTTTTGTGCCCCTTCCCCATTCAAACCTTCTCATACTCACATGAATTTATAATGAAAAAAAGAATATTTCAAAAACATAAGAGCCGGTTGGAATCTGAGACATGGCAGGTACTGTGAAGTCCTCTCCCCGAAGTGAAGTCTGGGTCAGCTCCTCAGGGCAAGCATCATACCTTTTTAATAATGCTAACAACCTGACTAGGATCAGAGTGACAGGGATGGAGTCCTCTCACCAATGCCAGGTTCTTAAAAATCACATTAAAACAGAGATGAAACTTAAAAATAAGTTACTGGCCCAAGAATGCAAACATCTGGAAGATGCTCATTGGTCCAGCTGTGGGTACACATCGCCACTGTAGCTGTTGGCTGTGGAAGGTTGTGGAGTTTTGTAGGACAGATAATAGCACTCACCCAGGTCTGTAATATGCTCATGTGGGGCCACAGCCACCCAATTATCCAGCAGGCAGACAGCAGAGTGAGTTCATGGAAACCTTTGCCAGGGTGTGTGGTGCAGGTCAGAGTAGATTGCTTAAGGCCCAAGTGGGGTGAGTTGGGGAGAAGTGACCATCTGTACTAGTCAGGTTCTCTAGAGTAGCAGAACTCACAGAATACATCTCTCTACATAGAAAGGGGTTTGTTAGAACGACTCACAGGCTGTGGCTCAGCTTGTCCAACAGTGACTGCCTAGGAACGAAAGGCTGAAGACTCCAGATGCTGCTCAGTCCCCAAGGCTGGATGTTTCAGCTTGTCTTCAGTATATGCAGGAATCCTGAAGAAGGAGGCTGTAATGCCGTGAAGGTATGGACTTATTAGTGAGGCGAAACAAAGGAGTCAAAGATCAAAACTTCCTTCTTCCATGACTTTATATAGGCTTTCAGCAGAAGGTGTGGCTTAGATTAGAGTCAGGGCTTCCTTCCTCAATATACCTGTATTAAAGACGCATCTTCCCACTTTAAATATCTGGCTTGGAAGTGAGCATTGCCACAACAAATTAAGCAAAATCCCCTCACAGGTATGTCCTACATTTGGGTTTAATTTAATTTCAGATGTAGTCAAGTTGACAACCAAGACTAGCCGTCACACATCTCTACCAAAGTCCACTAACCCCAGGGAGTGCACTGCCACCAAGACAGAAATTGTTAGGCAATAATCACCTTTGAAAGCTTATGGTACAAAGTTTGAAGCATAGTTTCGTCGAGCTAAGGCTGACTGGGAAGTGTATGTGTGCCTGTGTTTATGTGCACTGTGTGTGGGATGTTGTTTAAATTAGTTCAAGTGAAAACAGTTTATATGTTAACCATCTACACCCTGAGTGATTGACTGATCTGGGATCCAGGATTTGGGGCCTGACTTCTTCCCTCTGAGCATCTCCAGCATCAGAGACAAGCTCATTCTTCCTGGTACCCACTTTCCTATGGCCTCTGCGGCATGTGTGTCAGACATCCAGCTACTAAGGAGAGCAGTGCCCTGCTAGGGATGAGCAGGGCAGACAATCCTAACTCTGTTTATCTGACGAAAGAGAGATTCTGAGAGGGAAAGAGGTGCACGATGTCATTCAGCTGATTCTGGCTTTCAGGGGAAATGTGATTTTTAATAATTCCAAAGTTTCTAGAATATTCTCTGCTTGTACAGACACATAGCTGTCCCCTCTCTTGGCTCTGCCCTTTGATCTCTCAAACACACAGCCTTTGACACTGTTTGCAGAATTGTGCACTTTGCTCTCTGGGTCTCCAGGCTGACATTCTTTCCACACAGCATGCAGAACATCATCTGACCCCTTTATTCAGCCCCGCAGACTGAAGAGAGACTGGTTAAGGCCAGGGGGTGCGGGCTGGATATCCACTGACTTACTTCCTTCTAGAATCTGAAAAAGGACACTATTTTCTGGGCCTCAGGTTTCACTATGGATCCTGGCACAGGCACACATACTGAGAGATTCATGGTGCAGTCTTTGGACTCCTTGTATTTCACAAATCCATGTATGCCACCATCTGTTCATGTGGCAATACGTAAAGGACAACTCCAGGGTGGTCATGACACAGGATGGGAGGACTCTGGGTTCTCTGGTCTCTCCATTCACACCCTCAATTCCTCCATTTTCCAGATGGCACCCACAACGGCCACCTTCCCTCTGAGGTGCCCTAGTCACACATCAGGCTGTCTGGAACTAACTGAACCCCTCAGAGAACCCATCTGTGGGTGTCCTGTAGTCTCTTGTGCTGATTTCTGAGGCAGAGGAGCAAGCAGCCAGATTCCAACCTGGATGCTAGTTCAGCCACAGGCTGATGAACCTGTGACCCAGGCCAATAGCTAAATCACTTTATAAAATGGGGAGTTAGTCCTTTTGAGAGTGACTGTGGGCAGAGGCAGATATCTCCCTACTTGCGGAAGAATCTTCTGGTTGAGTTAGATGGACACAGCTGTCCTTAGCAGTGTGTCCAGACCCCGGCTGTGCATTTGAGTCACAGACAGAGACAAGCGCGGGGCCAGTGTCTCCAGCCTGAGTAGAGCAAGTGGGGCCACAGTTGCTCAGCAGCTATGATCCCGGGGACAGCCCAGACAGCCACTCATTGGGTGCCACCCTCTGTCTTGCTGTTTACACAGAGACAATAGGGTTCACTTACACCATTCACCTTGCTGGCATCATCTATGGGAAGAGGGGGAGGAGTACCCCTATACTTGGAGCCTCCTAAGGGACATTTCTGTGGTGTCCTAGGGCTTCCAGAAGGAGGGACCAGCACTGCATATTGTGTCCTTGTAAATGCAGAGTTTGGGAACCTTTGTGCTTGACTCCTGGATTCTGCAGCAGCTGTTAGATTAAACACGGAGAGACAGGATGCCTGCCGCATCACCAGGTTCTCATGTCTCAGGACAAAGAACTGAACCAAATACATGGTGAGGTTGTTACAACGGGAACAGTTTATTTAAGGGATGAAGACATGCCTGAGGACAGGAGTGGACTGAGGAACTGGGGAAGACACAGGCTCTAAATTACAGGGCAGGGGTCTCATTGCTTATTTATGTAGCACACACCTTCTCATGTGTTCTGTGGCTTCTTCTCGTGTTCTCTCCCCCCCCCCCCATAGCTGAGATGGGGAGGGCTTTCCAGTCTTAGTGATAACTGGCTTCTTCCATGTTTAGTCCAGAGGCTGCTCTCTCCAGTCCTCCCTGGCACATCCTCTGGTCGCTGTCTCAGGCTCCAGTTGGACTCACTTAACACACTGCTGTGCACATGAACCTGCCATGATGAGCCATAGGCCTGGGTCTCTGTCCCATGGACTTGGCTGGACTCTTGCTCCCTTCTAACACTGTCTCCATTGTCCCCATCCCTGTCCAGTTCTTTCTTTCTGACCTCAGCTTGTCTTGAAGGATGGGAATCTCTTGCAGGCCACAGGGGAACAAGGGACGATGGACAGTTAGAGAAACAGTGAGAGTCTTCAGCAGGGCTGTAGGCACTAAGGGACTCCCTGAGCACTGCAGCCTCCTCAGGAGTGACAGGTGGCATTGGGATAGGTTTGCACACCCCATGCTCTTGTTCCTGTATAGGGAGGGCTTCCATTCGGTAACCTGCGTGGATATACGGGAATCGATGCCCTAGTGTGGGCTCACACAGAGCCCTGTCACTTCTCCACAACAGAAGATTCTGAGTATGGTCCCTTACCGCCTCCTCAGAACGTTCCGGCAGGTGCAGTCATCCGTGTGATCAGGGAATGGGGACCAAGTCGTCATTTTGTCCCCATTGCTCTTCCCTCTCTCATTCCTCACAGTCACTCAGCAGGCCCCAGAGTCCGTCCTTAACAAGCCACTGTGTGTGAGCCTTACCCTGGAGGGGCCTTAGGACCCCTGGGTACAGGTCTCACCTGTATTTATCCTGAGATTGTAGGGGTTGTCTAAAGGGAAGTAGAAGCTATCAGGGGGTTGCAAGCAGGTATTTAACCAAATTTGTGTTCTCAAGGCCAAGAAGGTCCCAGAAGAAATTTATGGATGCTCTTGCAGGTCAGTGAGGGACCTGAAAAATCAGATTTTAGAAGATTTGCTATCTATTTACTTCTTGTCTCTCTGTCGCTGCCCCTCATGAACAACTTTATACATGTCCAGTATAGTGCTTATAGTGGAAATCATTGCAGTTAGGCATGCCTACAGAAGCAAGACTTTACAAACTTCCAGCAGTTTCTGCCATGTCTGTTCTGAAAGATTCCTGTCATTCCCCCCTTCCCTTCCAGCCCTGCTTTCCCAACCTTCTACCTACAGCTCCTTTGTAGGGTCACTCACAGTATCTCCTGAACCCTGAGTATGACACTGCTACTGGACTCTCTCGGCTTTGGGAAGGGAGCTGGTATTTGGTTTTCCAACCCTGACCAGCAGCTCATCCTAGGCTGTCACCACCACGTCCTATCAGCCTGCATTCCCATTCCTATGGAGCATACCTGGGGCTGAAGATCTCAGTAGGGACAGTCAGGGTCAGCCCAGCTCTGTGCAGCTGCACTCTCGACCTCCTCAGCCCAGAGGATCCCGCTGTTGTTACAGCTCCTCAGACAGGAGGTGAGTGACTGAGACAGTACCTGAGGACATAGGTTGATCATGTCTGTACTCTTCTGACTTGTCCCCAAATGGGTTCTTGAGTCTTCCTGCTTACAGGAAGACTTTTGACTCTGATTTTCTCACACTTGGCTTTTAATGTTAACTTTCAGGAGCACCTACTGTGTGCTGGTCATATTCTGAGCACTCCACGTCATGTTCCTGTTCCTCTTACATTAAATAGCAGTAGCAAAGACACTTATTTGGGAAGTGATAAGGAACTCACCAGAGTTACATAATTAGCCAATGATAGAAGTGACCCTGACAGCTGTGGGCATCCTAGCCAAGACAGTGACCTCCTGTCCTATTTAGATCCAGGGAAATGTTGATCAGTTGAAGCTGTGGCCGTGGGAGGGAATTGAATGGGCACATGGGAGAGATGATAGCAATGTTCTGGCATCTGGGGGAGGGACCAGTGTGGAGCAGCCATAATAGTTAATATCAGTGGAGGTAATAGCACCTGGGTGTGGACCCCCATGCTATGGCTCATGGCTCTTTGGGGAGGAGACCCCGACTGTGTACACTTGCTCTGTCTACATTAAACCTCTTGCCTGGAACCAACTGGGTTATTGATACTTGGATCTGTTTCCTGAGGATTGCCCAACTGCAATCCCACCTGAGGTCTTTCTTTGGAATGGCATCATGCATACCCTGTACATGGTATTCTGTGATCAGCGGTGTCCACAGACACTTCCCTTCCTTTGGTATTTATCCTTTTCTCTATGTTGTGTGGACTGCAATGGAACAAGGCCACCATCACACTCTATCCAACAGGGAGCAGGTCAGCTCTATGAGTTCATCCTGAAACTTGTCAGGGTTCTTTAAAAAATCTTCCACATATTTTTCCTTCCATAGCACTGAACTCCTCATGGAGAAATAGCAGGGAAGAAGGTGAAGTGTAAAATATCATCATGATTGTCCCTTGGTTAAATTGCAGACAGCATGTGTGTTAAGAGAGCTTGTCTCTGGTTGTGTCTGAAATTGCAGAGATTGTTCTGGAAGACTCTGACTTGCTCAGTGGTTTAACTTACTGAATGAGTAGAATTGTGGAGTCTATTAGGAAATGGGCTACACTTAGGGACCATGGGTCACTCGGAGCATGTCACTGAATGCTGTTTCTTGTCTGTGTCCCCTCTTGTCACTCCTTGTTGTTCCTGGCTTCCATGTGGTAAACAGCTTTCCTTTTTCATGCTTGCCCAGTGAGCTTGACCTCAGGACACGCTTCAGTGTCCTTGCTATGACTGCACTCATGTCCGTGTGCTTACAGGGTTCTTGATTACTCATCAGAGACATGGGTTCATAGAGCCATTGTGACAATCAGGTAAAGAACAGTCTATCACTTTAAAGTAACACCCTGTTGATAATCCTGTACACAGGACAACCGCCCAACTCTCCTCCTCATCCATCATTTCCATTTCAATAGTTTATCCCTATAACTGAGTTCACATGTCACACCCTTACAGTTGATTCTGTGTTGACTGAGCATGTGCCAGTGACAGCCATCTAAATACTGTGGGATCCAGGAATCTTTCCCTTTTTGTGGCTGAGGAGTCACAGTCCATCATGAGGACCATCCTATCTTCCTCACATACAGGACTCCGGCAGATTAACAAAGACTTTCTATTGGCTCAAGCCCGTGTCTGAATAGCCTTCTCTGGTGGATCCCTACAACATTTCTGGAGATCCCTAGAGACATCAGGGGTCTCAGATCCCCTCTGAGCGGGAAAGAGTGCAGTGATCAAGGAGCTCAAAGGGGTAGGAAACCTTAGACATTTCAGGTCCCCAGGACTCCCTTTGGTCTTTTGTCTGCTATGCCCAGTCTGTGAGGACCCCAAAAGACCACCAGGGAGACCGACTCACCAAAATGCAAAAGCAAGGTCTATAGTGTGCTCAATAAATAAAGGAAGGTGTCTTCCTAGGTGGGCATCAATATGGAGGTGAAGTGGCCCTGGACTGGAAGGCTGCAGGGAGCTCTCTGGACACTAGACACCTAAGTGATCATTCACTGAAAGGGCTGTGATGCAGTTGTTTTGAGAGGCCTGCGAGCCTGGAAGAGTGCGGGACGAAGGTACAGGCTCTTCAAGTGATCTATGTCCTAAGGGCCAGACTGATGGAGTCAGGAGAGAGAGCAGGGTTCAAGGTCAAGGATGTGGTGAGCTCTGGCAATGGCTCCTGAGTTTGTTCAGGGACAGAATCTGAGCCCTGGCACTGCGTTCACTGTAACACGGGCCCATGGGCTCATCAGTAGGGAGAACTCCATGAACTGAGGAGCAAGTTGTTGGGCAGCCCAGGACACAGGTAGGTACTTTTCCAAGTTTGTCCAAGCCAGCACTCCATTCTGTCACTGCTCGGCATCCCAAGGGAGATGGTTTTGTCTACATCAGGCTCTCACTTACCAGACATTCCAGTCCAAGGAAGGATCGAAGGGATTGAAAACAGAAGACTGTTCCTCTAACAGATAAGACCTAGAATACACACAGGACTTCTCTCAGCCCAGTGTTCAGAACTTGGGAAGAAGGCCACTTGAGCTGCAAAGGGAGAAGGGGACACAGCTCTTTTCCAGCTTCAGGGTGCATCTATGGTCAGATGGGGAGAGCTACACAAATAAGGAAAATGGTTCTTGTATAAATTTCAAATATTCTTGTTAAACCACAAAAAGGCAAGTTTTTAAAATCACGATAAAAATTAGGAGGCAATTATTAACTCTTTATAGTCAACAATTTAGAAAACACATGCTATCATTTGAAAAAAACACACAAAGTCTGACAGGTCAGTGTTTATAAATTTATTCTTCAAATGTTATAGAATAAGGTTAGCCTTCCATGTGCATCTCTACAGATCTCATCCAATTACAGCAGATTTTAAATTTCAATAGGTATTAAACCTCGTCACTTGCCCAGACTGTGCCTCTCCCTCTAGCAGGCACTGCTGCCATAGGGGCATTGCTGTGAAGGGATATAGTCAGGGCCTCTCTTGTGTCTGTGGCCTTGTTCAGGGCAGCGCCTACCTCCAGTTCTGAGCTTCACTGAAGAAGAAAGAGGTCACTGAGTCAGGCTGTCATGCACCCGGATGAGCTCCTGCAACTTCTGCTCCAGGTCCTGAGCCTGCTGCCGCAGCTTTGCAGCAGACTCTGCCTTTGCCCCCTCCTGCAAATGCTTTGAGTCATTCACAAGATTGACAACATCTAGCACAAGGAAGAGACCTGCAGTGGCTGCACCTACGATCCGGGCTCCTTTGGTAATTGCCAGAGCAGTGCTTCCAAAGGCTTTCTCCACCTGTGTGATGCTTTGGGATGACACCCTACCTGTGGTCATAAGATGTTTGGTATTAGTTGCTAGGCTATGTTTGGATTTGGCCAGCTGGCCGGCATTGATGCTATTCTTGATAACTTCCAAGTTCTGGGTGGAATTCACAAATGGGGAAGAAATTCTAAGGGTGTTCTTCTCCACAACTTCTTTGATGCCCTTCACTGTGTTCTTACTGGTGGTCAGAACCTGTCTGGCTTTATCTTCCTTTGACTTCGTGCTTACCTTTTCCACAATGGTTGTGGAAACACTCGTCACAGCCGCTGCTGCCCCAAGCCCCAAGCCTGTGGCTGAAAGTCCCAGACTGACTCCTGCTGTCACAGGTGCCAGAGTGAGACCAAGGATTGTCAGGACCCCAGACACAGCACTGGTGGAGCTGGCCACCACTTGTGTGATGGTGCAGTCCCTGTGCACCTTGTCAATCTTGTCTGCAAGGGCGTGGAGCTTCGTAATGCGCTCCTCGAGCTCCAGTTTCACCTGAGGATAAACTTCCAAAAACCTTTTCTTCTTCTGCAGGGCGTTTTGGATATCATCTTTATCCTCTCCATTACTGTCCACTGTGGTTTCCTTATGAGCTTCATGCAAGGCATCCTCCTCTTTCCTGTAAAAGGAGAGGCCAGCTGAGTAAGGAAGAGAGCTTGTAGGTAAGATCTGTCCTGTGGCCATCACAGAGCATCTGCTATGAATGTAATGGAGGAGAGTGTTACAGCTTTATGACAAACCACAATGTCTTTGACTGGTAAGGAGACAATGAGTTAAAATCCATCTTAATGTGTCCTTTTAATTTTTATTTTATGTGCATGAGTGTTTTGACTGTGTGTGTGTGTGTGTGTGTGTGTGTGTGTGCACGTGTGCACGTCATGTGAATGTCTGGTGCCAGAGGAGGACAGAAGAAGGCATCAGGTCCCTAGAACTGAAGTCTGGAGTTACAGAGTTGTGAGTCATCATGACGGTGCTAGAAACTGGACTTCAGGCACCTGGAAGAGCAGACAGTGCTCTTAACTACCTGATCCATCTCTCTAGCCCTTTGCTATACACTCCTATTGCTAGACATTTAATAAAGATGCGTTCCCCTCTAGGTCAATGTCATCACTACAAACATTCTTTTCAGTAGGAACTCTAAACCAAGACAGAGATGTGAGATTGGGAAAAAAATATCCCTTTCATTTAGGGAAATTTAGTATTCTCTGAAGAGTTCATTTCCTCCAAAGAAAAACCTTCTACAGCCTATGACTGTTGAATTGATCTTGATTTTCCTGTGCATGGTAGGCCTGCCCTACTTGGGCTTGACAAGAATCCTTATCTGGTTGTGAGACTGCCCTACCTTTGATACTCAATAGTCAATCAAGTTCCCATGTCTAACTCCTGGTGTCTTAGTCTTGACTTCCCTCAGGAGGAATGCTATGAGATCATTTTCACAATGCCCCTGCTCTGTGCTATCTACAGCTCCTCACTCAGCTTGTCTGGTAGAATCTCCAGCTGAATGTACATTCAGAACTGTTCTGTCTCCGTCCCTTAGAGAAATAGTCCTGAACAGCTCCTTCCTGACTGCTAACTTGTATCAGAATAATTATTGGTTCTCATCGGAGCTCTTGGTGTGTGACACTCCATGTGAATTCTCACGTGACTGCGCCGTGTCCTAAGTACAGCAGAGGATTCTCCCTTAAGGCCCATGAAATGGATTGTGGATGTGACTAAGTTTTAAAGTATTTGGCATTGAAACACTGGATTTGAGTTCAGGCTTGCAGAATACATGTGGATTTGCTAGGTACTGGACATTGCTCGCAATCCCTGCGGTGGGGATGTAGAGGCACAAGGATCCCTGGTGCTCTCTTGGTCAGCCAATGTAGACAAACTGATGAGTTCCAGGCAAATAAAACTAATCATATTTAAAGGGAATAGAGAGACAGCTTCTTTATTCACACCATGCACTTCTCTTCCAGAAAAACTGAGTTTGGTTCCCAGAACCCACGCTTGGTGGTTCAAGTCTGAAGGGGGTCTGAGGTTCTCTTTGACCTTCATGGATAACACTGTGGATTAGGGTCCTCACTCATGCCCTCCCTTAATTTCAATACTTTTGTTCCTTAAAGGCTTAATGTCCAAATGCAGTCACCTTGAGTTAGTGTTTTTCAGAAGTATAGGGACATAACTCAGTCCCTATCACTAGTGATGTCATTAAGATATATCTTGTGGGAGTTGAGGAGTTAGCTCAGTGGTAGAGCAGTTGCCTATCAAACACAAGGCCCTATGTTTGGTCTAAACTCTGAAAAACAATATCATATATGAGGCCCAGAAAGATATTTAAACAGCCTATCTCTAATGCCATTCAAGCTCTTTTGAACAGGTCTCTAACCCTATTCTTTTTTTTTTTTTTTTTTGCAACTAGAGAAAAATCTTCATTGAGTCTGTGGCTGAGTACCTCTCTGTCTGGTCCTGCAGGTCATTTTGGAGTTTGCCATCATCTGCATCTTTTTCTATATCAGGATCTGCAACCATCTCACCAGGGGCTTCACACAAGGAAGTTTCCTCTGTCTGGTCCTGCAGGTCATTTTGGAGTTTGCCATCATCTGCATCTTTTTCTATATCAGGATCTGCAACCATCTCACCAGGGGGTTCACGCAAGGAAGTTTCCTTTTCTCTGTAACAGGAGAGACCATCTGAGTGAAGAAGACAGTTTGTAAGATAAGCTCACTCAAGTGCAAGAAGTACACACATGCGCTCACGCGCGCGCACACACACACACACACATGCACAGAAATGCACAAATAAAAACAATCCTTTTGTAAAAATCAACTTTCATTGAACACCTACTGTGTGCTGGCTATATGATGATCTCCCCAAATACATCATCTTATTTTTCTTACAATGAAATTCAATTGTCGAAATAAGGCAGAAGGAAAGTAACTTAGTTCTCACGGTCACAGGGACAGCAATGACAGAAATATTCTTATCCCCTCTGACTTCCATCCCCTCTCAACCAGAGGCTGTCCCCTGTTAGTGGACAGTATTGAGGAAATATCTGCTAATAAAAAAGAAAAAATTAAAGGGGCTGAATAGGCAGCTCATTCAAACAGATTGTGTACTTCTCTTCCAGAAAAGTGAGTTCGGTTCTAAAACCCACACTTGGTGGCTCAAGGCTGAAGGAGGGCCTCCGTGGATAATAAACAATGTAGTTGGGGGACTTTACATTTGGTCCTTCAAATGTTCAATGTCCAAATACAGTCACCTGGGGTGAGGCCTTGTCCAGATGAGTTTAGGTACATTACTCAGTCTCTACCATTAATGACAGCATTAAAATGTCTTATGTGGGGGTTGGAGATTTAGCAATGGTAGAGCACTTACCTATCAGCCACAAAGTGTTGGACCTCAGCTCTGAAAGAAAAAAAAAAATCTCACGTGGCGGGTGCTCAGAAAGACATTTAAATAACCTGTCCCTGATGAGATTCAAGCTATTATGCACATTGTCCTAACCCTGTTGCTTTTTTCCCAACTAGACAGTAAAGCTTCATGGAGTCGGTGGCTGAGTACCTCCCTGTCTTGTCCTGAAGGTCATTTGGGGACTCGTATTCATCTGCATTTTCTACATCAGGATCTGCAACCATCTCTCCAGGAGCTTCACGCAAGGAAGTGCTCTGTTTCCTGTAATTGGAGAGGAGGTCTGAGTGAGGAGGACAACTTGTAAGCTCACTCAGTGAAAGAAGTACACACTCACTCACACAGACACACATGCGCGCGCACACGCATACACACTCAAGCAAAATCATAGTCTTTCATTAGAAATCAACTTTCAGTGAGCACCTACCATGTACTGGCCTGTGTGCTGGACACCTACTGTGTGCTGGACACCTACTGTGTGCTGGACACCTACTGTGTGCTGGACACCTACTGTGTGCTGGCCATATGCTAATCTCCCACATGCATTCTCTTATTTTTCTTACAATGAAATTCAATGGTCTCCAAATGAAGCAGAAGGAAAGAAACTAAGTTCTCATGGTCACAGGAACAAACAAAAATGGCAGAAACAATCTTGCTCCTTGTGGCTGCCATCTCCCCTCAATCAGAGATTGTCCCTTTTTAGTGGATAGTATTGAGGAACTATTTGCTGAGCAGGGACACCCTGGAGCCCAGCTACTTTGACTGCCTGGGTAGAGTATTCTTGTGCAGAAAAAGCCAACTAGGCATGGTCTCTGGTGGCATGCTACGGTGCCCATGGAAGTTACCTGGGAAGACATCTAATACCTAGAAATGGAGTTTCAGACACTTGTGAGCCATCATGAAGATGCTAGGACCTGGACTTGAGTCATCTGGAAGATGCCAGTGCTCTTAACTGCTGATCCATCTCTCTAGTCCTTCGACACTGCCTGTCATTGTAAGGCATTTAATGAAGATGCCTTCCTCTCAAGGTAATTTTCACCACTGAAAAGTCCTTCTTAAAGAGAACTCTAAACTAAGATAAAAATGTGTGGTTAGAAAAAAAAATTACCTTTTAATTTAGGAAAGTTAGTATTCTCTGAAGAGTTCACTTTTTCCAAAGAAAAACATTCTATGTCCTTCCTCATTTGCTGAGACATGACCTGTCTACACTACAGCGATGTCCACATGTGTGGACATTGAGCTCCGAGAGTCTGCAAATTCCACACCCCTAAGAGAGAAACCCTACATAGGACATCCTTTGAAGCTGGATGTTTTGCTGTAGTGCAGCTGTGTGTACACCTGAGCAGCTGGGGCCGCTCATACCTAAGACCCTTCCACTCAAAACACAGCACACAAAGTTCCCTTCCAGCTGTGAGCAGAAGATAAAGAACCATAAGTGGGTCCCCATTTTCATGTGGGTCCCATCCCCAAGGCACCTCACTGTGCCTCTGCAAACGTTTCCACAGCAGGCAAAACTGAGAAAACACAACATGTAGGCTCCCTAGCTCTTCGAAAGATGAATTCCCAGCCTGAGAAAGGTGATGTGTGGTGGGATATCACTGTCATTTCTGATCTCCAGAGGATCTAGACTCTAAAGGCCTGTGCTCCAAGAGGGATGGAAACCCTGGATCTCTTGCGGGGACTCTGTATGTGATCAAGGACCACCAAATTTATGGACACTGAGTCTCATGTTGACAAATGCTTTTCCTTAAATCAACTTTACTTAAGTTTTCATAAACTGCTCCCAGAGTGTGGCTCAATCTTGGCGTTCTGTGCCTTATCTGAGCATGGTTGGGGTTCCCTGCCCAGATGTGACAAGAATCTTAAGTCAGTTGTTAAACTGCCCGACTTTTGATACTCAATACTCAATCAAGCTCTGCTGTTTAACTTCCCAAGTCTTAGTCTTGACCTCCGTCAGGAGGAATGCCATGAGGTCAGCTTCACAGTGCCCCTGCTCCCTGCTAACCACTGCCCCTCACTCAGCTTGTCTGCCAGAGTCCCCAGCTGAATACACATCCAGAACTCTTCTGTCTCTTTCCCTTAGAGCAGCAGCCCAGCCCAGCACCTTCCTGACTACTAACTCGTGTCAGAATACGGCTTCTCTACCAAGGCATCTTTCTTGGTGTGTGTCATCCCGTGTGAGCTCTCATGTGACTGTGCCGTGTCTTGAGGACAGCAGACAATTCTGCCTTAATAGCTAGATGCACCCTTAGGATGTGGCTAATTTGGTAAAGTGTTTGCCATACAAACACGTGGACCTCAGTTCTGTGTTCCAGAGTCCACATAGAAAAGCTAAGGAATTCTTTCTATCAGGCTATTATTACCTTAATACCCAACCACACAATGATGCAACAATGAAAGAAAATTACGGACCAGTCTCCCTCAAGAACACTGATGCAAAAACTTCATAAAATACTGGCAAACTGAATCCTTAAACACTTAGAAAAATCATTCACCATGATCTAGAATACTTTGTCCCTCAGATACAGGAATGTTTTAATATAAAAAAAAATCTATCAATGTAATCCACCATATAAACAAACTGAAAGACAAAAACCACATGATCAACTTGTTAGCTACTGAAAAAGCCTTTGACAAAATCCACCACCCCTTCATGATAAAGGTCTTGGAGAGATTAGGAACTAAGGAACTTACCTATATATCATATAAGCCATAAACAACAAGCCAACAGCCAACATCAAATTAAATGGAGAGAAACTGGACAAACCAGCTCTTTCCACAAGTTGTATTCCGAATTCCTCTTTAGTCGGCAGGAGCTGTAGGGTCTCTGTGTTCCTTGTGTCCCAGAGGTACTCAATCACAGACATGATGAAGCCTTTCCTCTCTAGATGGGAAGGAAAGGGAATATGGTTAGAGGACCATGCTTGAGAGCTTGAATGGTTTTAGGAAGTAGGTTTTAAAATGTGTTCCTGAGCATCTGTCCCTTCAGGTATATTCTGGTGTCACTTTTGATAGGGACTGAGTTGTGTCCCTTAACACATTTGTTAAAGCTTTATCCCCAGGTGACTGTATTTGGAGATAGATAAGGAAGCAAGTGAGGTTGTGAGTGAGGTCCCTGACCCAGAGTGTTAGTGTCCTCACAGCAGTCAGAAGATGCTCCCTTTCTCCATTCCCTCCTTTTCTGTCTCCCCCACCCTCCCCTTTCTCCCTTTCCCTGGCTCTCTTTTCTCCAGACACATAAGAGAGACCATGGGCTAGCACAGATATAGGCTCCCTCTTTCAACCTGAAAGAAAGTGCTCCCCAAGGCCAATCTGCCACACTTCAATTGTACATGTAGGATTCCAGAACAGTGAGAGAAGAGGTCTTTTCTCTTTAAGCCACCTACCCAGTGTCCCATTGTGATGGCATCCTGAGAAGACAAATGTACCAGAGCCATGCAATGGTGCTTTGCAGAGACACGAATGGTTTTCTGCTGCGGGAGTATCTTCCGCTGCTTCAGCCAATAGTCGCTGAAGCATAAGCCCACAGTGCTGCAGGAGCGCCTTCCGCTCCGTCAGTCAATAGCCGCTGAAATACCAGCCCACTGGGGCGGGGTATATTTCTCTTTAAAAGAAGAGCGGCAAGCCTCTCTCGGCCTCTTGGTTCCGGCGCTTGGTTCTGGCTCCTGCTCCCGGCTCCTGCTCCAGCGACTAAGCTCCCTTCCTGACGGTTTATGGTGTATGTAAGTTTTATCCCCCAAAATAAATACCCCTTTAAAACATAACTGGTGTGGGATTGATTCGCCATTATCTGGCGCCTGAACGTGTGGGTTTTTCCCCCCTTGTGGCATGGGCCAAGCAACCAGAGCCACACACCGCTACTGGCTCCCGACTGGCCCCGACCTCGGTTGGATCGGGGAGGGAACTTTTTGGCTTCTGCTACCCCTATCGGGCACTGTCTTCCCCACCGCCCGGCTGAGTCCAGCGCTCGACCTGCGCCGGAGCACACGATCTGTGAACTCAACCTCTGGATTTGAGTGTATATATTCTAGAGTTTACTTCCTGGATTGACGCCATTGCCACATGGATTCAGGTGCGCCCCTACCACCTACTGGCAGGCAACGGTCATTACAGATAAGATTTTTCTTTTCGGTTGAAAATACATACTTACATACATACATACATACATACAAGTACAATTTCTTTTGATTGAAAATGTCAGAAAATATTACTATCCAAAAGTTCAATGGTTTTTTTAATCGTGCTATGGAGGATATTCTGAAGGATGCCTCTGATATTCCTCTTACTTGGTTATTCCTGGGATCTGTCGCTTTTCTGGTGTTTGGCTATTTTATAAGAATGATACAGTCTTTACAGACTGAATCCACAATGCTGAGGGCAGAGATTAAAACCTTAAGGACAATTCAGACTGACACCAACCTCCTCAAAAAAGAGTTTGGAGTTTTCAAGGAGGAGACTAGATCAGAGTTTGGAGTTCTCAAGGAGGAGACTAGATCTTTGTCTGTTATGACTCGGTCGACTGACCAAAATATCAAGAAGGTACAGTCTGATATTGCTTCTTTAGAAGGGAGCTTCACTGCTCTGGAGGAGGGGACAACCAAAATGACTTGTAACCTCCAGTCCATGACTGTAAGTGCTGAAACATTAGCTGAGAGGATTATAACCACTGAATGTGAAAATCGGACTTTATCAAAAGGTTATGATATATTAATTGACAGGATTTCCATACAAGAAGGCACAGTCCATGCCATGAGGATTATGTCCAAGGAGGATATGGTATCTCTAACAGACAAGCTCCACATCTTAGAATTATCAATGAAGGCGATTGTGTCCAAGGAGGAAATGGTGTCTCTCACAGACAAGGCCATGCCTTAGAATTGTTAATGAAGGCTTTGGAGCATAATATTGGACAGGAGATTCAGGACTTACAGAAGGCAATGGTGAGCAGATTTAATAAGATTGAGGAAATCATAGACTCTGATGAACAGGAGCAAAAGGTAGAAAGGCAACATTCACCTCAAAAAACTCTCAGTCTACATAGAGTTATACCTGCCTTTCCAGTAATAACGTCAGAAAAGATAACCGGATCCAAAAACCCTAAGGTCATTAAAGAACATACATGGGAGCCTATACGTATGAATGATCTGAAAGAATTTAAACAAGCAATTGTGAATTATGGACTACATTCATCCTTTGTTAGGGAGATGTTAAAATCCTGGGCTCTGAGCAGCAGGGCCACCCCTCAAGATTGGAATCAATTAACGTCAGCTGTCCTCGAGAATGGACCTTTATGGCATTTCAAATGCCTATTCAAACAAGAGGCCAGACTTTTACAACAACAAGAATCAGCGAAAGGAATTGAGGTTTCACTAGATCAAATTCTAGGGGAAGGACTTTACTCTGATCCTCAGGAACAAGCTCTTTATGATGAAAACATTTTATCCATATGTGCTACAGCAGCTCTAAGGGCCTGGGACAGGGTTCAAGACTCAGGTCAGAGAGCAGAATCGTATATCAGGGTCAAACAGGGTCAGAGAGAACCCTTTAGTTGTAGGACCCTGCCTTCCTGTGGATACCCACACCCAATCCAGGCGCGCTCTTTCCCGAACTCGGGCCCACGAGAATGGACGATTGTCCTGAGGGTTTAAAACAGACGCACACAAAAGAGACCTTGCTCACTTACCAAGAGTAAATGGCCACTTTATTAAACTCAAGTCGGGTATTTATACCAGTGGGCAAGGGGGATCAAAAGGGCAAGGCCTCCTCCCATCAGGAGCAGGAGAAGGAGATTACAGGCCCGGCGCCTCAGGCAGAATCAGCTGGGGGAGGCAGGCTATGGGCCCACTGCTAGAACCTTGATTACAGGTGGAATCACCATAACAAAGAGAGCCAGGTTCTTCCTAAGCTATCCCCTCAAGCCAGTGCTAGTGCAGAATCTCCAGGGAGCCGGAGGTCACATGGCCCTGCGAATCGCCAGGAAGAAGGGAAAAAGACCTTGGTACCTACATTTAGTGACTTTTTACAAAGACTAACTAAGGCTGTACAAATAGGAATACCTGATCCAGAAGCAAGAAATATAGTAATTGAGTCTTTGGCTTATGAGAATGCCAATGTAGAATGCAAAAGGATCCTGGGGCCTTTAAAGATCAGATCAGCGCCTTTGGATGAATGGGTTTTACATACAATGAATGTTGATATATTTGATTATGGCAATGAAACGTGGGTGCAAGAAGCAATTTCCAAAGGTAAAAGGAGACATCAGATTACAAAATGCTTTCATTGTGGCAAAATGGGACACATGAAAAGGGACTGCAGACAATGGAATTCCAGATATAATGCCTCTTCTAGGAATAACAGGAATGGGAGGACTCAGCCTTCAGGTTTATGTAGGAGATGTGGAAAGGGCAGGCATTGGACGAATGAGTGTAGGTCAACAAGAGATAAACAGGGCAACCCGTTGCCATCGGGAAACTCAATGGGGGGCCTCACGCAGGCCCCCATGGCAAATGTGGTCCAGTCATTTCCAATCACTGCAGAGAACATGCCTCTTCAGGGAAATTAGAATGCCCCATGCCTGCTGTTAAAAGCAATAACAGCCTGAAGGATGAGTTAAATGTGGTGAATGAATCAAGAAATCTAAGAGGACAAAGTAAACGTGTATTCTGGCAGACTTCTATAAATGAACAAAGACCACAGCTAAGAGTGTGTAAATGGCAAATTTATTATTGGCTTACTGGACACAGGTGTGGATGTAAGTATCATTACTCCAGAATCTTGGCATCCGCATTGGCCTCTTCAGGAGGTAGATATTCAGTTCTTAGGAATTGGAACCCTATCTCGAGTAAGACAAAGCACAAGATGGGTCAATTGTATAGGTCCAGACGGACAAATAGGAAAACTAAGGCCATATGTAGCCAATATTGCAGTGAATTTATGGGATCGTGACCTATTGCAGCAATGGAATACCCAAATTTACATTCCTGCTGCTTCCAGAGCCTATATTTCTGAGGACAATATTACAAGATATTACAGATGGTGGAAACCAGCCATTAGAGCTATACAAGAACACAACACAATTGATGGCCCTTCAGAGGTACCAACAGCCATGCCTCTACAATGGTTGACTGAGAAACCAATATGGACTAAACAGTGGCCTTTAGCTGAGGAAAAGTTATAGGCTTTAGAACAGCTGGTACAAGAGCAATTAGATGCTGGACATATAGAAGACTCTACCAGCCCTTGGAACTCTCCTGTATTTGTTGTTAAGAAAAAAATCTGGTAAATGGAGAATGGTGACATATCTTAGAGCTATCAACAAGGTTATTCAACCTATGGGCCCTCTGCAATCTGGAATTCCTCTGCCCTCCCTGTTACCAAAGGGATGGCCTCTTATAGTTATTGATCTGAAAGATTGTTTCTTCACTATACCATTACAAGAAAAAGATAGAGAAAAGTTTGCCTTCACAGTGCCTACTTATAATAACTCTCAGCCTGCAAGGAGGTACCAGTGGACCGTCCTCCCACAGGGAATGTTAAACTCTCCCACCCTGTGCCAATATTTTGTAAGCCAACCATTGAAAATTATATGCACACAATTTCCTAAGTCCATAATATACCACTATATGGATGATATCTTGATATCTGATCAAAACAAAGACACCTTAGAAAGGCTGTTTGAAGAAGTAAAAATAGTATTACCTAAATGGGGATTGCAAATTGCTCCTGAAAAAATTCAGAGAGGAGATTCTGTTAATTATTTAGGTTATAAAATAGGTTTACAAAGAATTAAGACTAAAAAGGCACAAATCAGGAGAGACCGGTTACGAACTCTTAATGACTTTCAAAGATTATTAGGAGACATCTCCAGCCTACGACCAGCTGTTG